TTCTATGAAGAACCTTTAACAACCATAACCTTGCCATTGCACAAAAACAGGGTTTTTTTAAGAACTGTTCACTGAAGGGTTCTTTGGGGGACCTAAAATGTTTTTGTTTTATTATAGGGCATCACTCTGAAAATCTGCTTTTTTACCTTTTATTTCTAAGAGTTTAGAATAAATCTATTATAGCTGAGTTTCTCTACGCCAGTTGGCAAAGGTGATTGACACATCTCTCATCACTTTCAGCTCGCGAAGGACTTGTTGCACCCAACGCCAGAGGAGGAGAAGAGAAGACACAAGAAGAAGCGTCTCGTACAGAGTCCCAACTCTTATTTTATGGATGTCAAATGCCCAGGTAACATATGCAGTCTTGGTGGTCTGTGTAAGCAAGCAGGTCCACTATGAGACATTGGTTCTCATGGGGAACAGGACTAAAATTGTCATCAGCCTTTGTTCTGGGATTTTAAATAAAAGTCTTTATTAAAGAGTTATAAGCCATGAACCAAACCAGCCAGCTATGAAGTGAATCGCAACAATACAGGATTTGATCTGAAGCAAAGTAGAATTTGACAAGTAGACAAAAATAAATGTACAAAATTGTGTACTTAACAGCTTTAATGAGGCATTAACTATGACATGGAGCATCGTGAGTGACAATCAAAATAACAATTCTGTATGAGCTATTTATTTGTGTGTATAAAACAACACTGTAAAATTGTGTTCCACATACAATAGACATTGATTTGTGAATTACAGTATGTTGGAACCTATTCGCCATTCTCTCTTTGCAGGCTGTTATAAGATCACTACGGTGTTCAGTCACGCACAGACGGTGGTCTTATGTGTAGGATGCTCTACAGTGCTGTGCCAGCCTACCGGAGGAAAGGCACGCCTCACAGAAGGTATCGCCAGTGCACAGACACCACCCAAAGCATGAAAGAGCCTAGTTTATCAATCTAGTGGTCGCATGGATTCTTGATAATTATCTCTTAAGCAGAATCTCACAGTGGGATTTTCTTTATTCCTGCAGCAGAGCATTCAGAACATGTCACATTAAAAGACGGCCTTCAGAAGATGACTAATGAATTCATGTTTTCGTGTGGGAGAAATATGGCTAGAAATGCACTCATAGATCAGAGATACACATACATGCGCTTGTAAATGTAGCAGCGCCATGGCAACACGCCGACACAGACCAACCTAGTGTTTCCCACTTGATCATTGTTCTCTTCTTGAGCTGAAGCTTGATTGGTGAAGCTCTGAAACTCGCTGCCCTGCTGGCGCACAGTTCAGAAGAAAGCCAATGATTCAGGCCATGTTTACACGGAAACGATCTGAAGAGAAAACGCAAAAGTGGCGTTTCGTTTTCACTTTTTATTCTGCGTTTAGACGAGCGTTATGGGGGGGAAATCTTCGTGCATATGGAGACGCAAAAGTGTTAGAAATGCGATGTAGTATGCACTCCAGGCGGCTAGGTGGCAATGTGAAGCACTGGCACACAACAACAACAAGTCCGTGCGCCTGCGTACAACCTTCCTTCTACTTCTCTCCCTAGTAGCGCGAAATTGAAAAGACTCTTGGACGTTTATCAGAGCTGCTAGGGCAACTTGAAGGTCCGATGTATGGAAATAATCCGACATGTTGGTTGTTATTTTCCTGTACTGGCGCATGCCTGTGACGTAAATGCGTACGCGACGAGAGCCGCCATGAGCAGATTTGCGTTTTTACCCGTTTAGACGGAAACGCGACGGTGGAGCGTTTTTAAGATTTCCACTTTGGAGGGTGGTTTCACTTTTTTGCTGTTTTAAGCCCCAAAAACGCCGTCGCCGTGTAAACGAAAGGCACATCCGATTAAAATATTATTACGTTTTTACCCGGAATCGTTTTCGTGTAAACAGGGCCTAAGTGGCAGATTACTGTCTCAATGATTCAACACTATCTCATAGTTTGGTTCCCTGTCCAAAAAATAGACATATGTTCTATTATATAAAGATTTTTAATAAGTACTTTAAAGCACAAATTTATAAAGCTGAACGACTTTTATAATTTTTTGAGAATTTTGCAGCAGCTAACAATTATTTTGAGAATTTATTTGTTGTGGGGATTTTTAAAGAGAGAAACAAATGTACATCTTAGGCAATGTTCTTGGCCAAACTGTGTAAATTGAAGGATATATATATATATAATATGAATGTATTCTGTTTGTCGCACTCTCTTGTTCTGTTGAATGAAGTCTTTGAAGTTCAAAAGCCCTGTCAGGAATGATATGTTTTTTTAAAATGAAACGACTTGCTTGAATTTCTAACATTTATAGATAAGAAAATAACTGTAAAATGTAAGCAATCCACTGGTGAAAACACCTCAAGCGCATTAAACAAGCACTCGCTAGCAACTAACATGGAATGATATGCTTATGACCTTGTTTAAAACGTTTAAGCGTCTTGGACACCTTTTCCTTGCTCTGCTTTTTCAAAGTGCTTTTTTTCCCCATAGAAATGCATTTTCCGCTACTGTGAAGTGTGACGAAATATAGAATTAGTTTCTGACTGAATTGTTTCTCTGTTAACAGGATGCTCGTTCAGGAGAAAGCAGCACTAGTCTCTCATTAACCAGTATGCAAGGATGAGAGAGACCACGGGAGGAGAGACAGGATTGGCCACTCCACAGGGATTTCAGTGACTCCACCCACAACGAGGCCGTGTTTCTTATCTATAATGAGATGAAAGCTAAACCGAGAAGAGTGCTAGAAAACTGTCAAAGTGCTGTCTGAACACAGAGCGTGTGAGGTGTAAAACCACCAAACCTGTCTCTCTCTCCCTCTCTTACTTTAAATAAAGGTTCATTTTTCATTTATGTGTGTGTTGTGGTAGATCATTTGCCAGCCAATCTGCATCGTCACAGCTACATAAATACTATGGCCTGGTTTCACAGACAAGGCTTAGATTAAGCCAGGATTAGGCCTTAGTTTAATTAGGACATTTAAATAGCTTTTATAAACGTTCCTTAAAAAACATCACTGAGCATCAAAACAAGAGCACTGATTTTTTTTTTTTAAGATTCTGTGCAAATTGCTTTGTTCATTTTAGTCCGGGACTAGGCTTAAGCTTTGTCTGTAAAACCAGGGGAAAATGTACGAAATTTAGCTTGATGAGGTTCCGCGTCATGCTTGCCTGTTGACTTGATCTCATCACGAGGTAATACAAATATTTTTCTCTGAAAATATTGTCTGTTGTTTAGATGGGTGAAATTCAGATTGTACACATGTAACTATAGCATTATATACTATTGATCTAAAGTGTGGGGTCAGTAAGAGGTTTTTAATATTTTTCTCTTAATAAGTCTCTTATGCTCACCAAGGCAGCCATTGTTTGATAAAAAATGCAGTAAAAACATTAATACTGTAAAATAATTAGTTACACTATAAAATGTGTTCTATTTAAAATGGTATGTATTCCTGTGATGGCAAAGCTGACTTTTCAGCATCTTTACTCCAGTCCAAAGTGTCGCATGATCCTTCATAAATCATGTTGATTTGCTGCATTTCTTTGAAAACAGTTGTGCTGCTCAATATTTTTGTAATACTTTTTTTTTTTCTTGATTCTTTGATTAATATAAGGTGAAAAGAACGGCATTTATTTGAAATAAAAATATTTTGTAACATTATACATTTCTTTAGTCACTTTTAATAAATGTAATGAATTCATGCTGAATACATTTCTTTAAAAAAATCGTATTGACCCCAAACTTTAGTTAAAGTAAAAATAGTCTGAAAATGAGAAATGATACTCTTCAGGAACCTGAAGTGGTTTGCACGTTTTTACTGCTGAACTGTAGTTTGAACCATGACTAGAGCCTTTCAAGTACATGGTTCTTTCATTTATGACAGAGAGAATAACATAAGTTAGTTAGTATTCCAGAGCCACTGTTTTCTCTGCAGGACATTTTGTGTTTGCAGTGATGGTGTGATCCACAGATAGAAATATTTTTTGTCCTCTTCTGAAAAAAAGTTAGAAAACATTGATTAAAAAAATAAGCATATAAGTCTCGCACTTTTAAACCAAAATAAGCAAATGTAGGTTCATTTAGAAAATAGATTTGATTTCATGCTGACTTTAACATAAAAGTACTGGGTACACCTTTAATCTAAAGCGGCTCTGTCAAATAAAATGTGAGGGGGTGTCATGCACCTCCTTGAGGTCAAACACACCTGTATTAGAGGGTCTGAGGACTGCAGGTACAGTTTGTGTGAGAGGCAGCATGGTATTGTACGCTGTGGAAATTGAACACATTTAATAGAATATAAGATGTGCAGGGCCTGAGTCTGAATCAAATGTCGGACAGCACTGAATCACTGGACAGCAAACATATTCAGTGTTGCTGAAAGTTAAAACTCTTATATGTGACCCTACCTATGAAAAGTGCAGCGGTGGTGGCCAGTACAGCAAAAAGAGCAAATATCAAAATGAACAAAAGCCCAAAATTTGCTCCAAGGTGACCTGAACATTCAAATAAAGAGCACTGTAGTCGTTACAGAAACAAAGATGTCTGTTACACTACAGTTCAAAAGTTTGGGGTTGGCAAGATCTTTTTAATGCTTTTAAAAGTTTCTTGCTCACCAAGGCTGCATTTATTTATTTAAAAATACAGTAATATTTTGAAATATTATTGCAAATGAAAATAACAGTTTTCTATTGTAATATATTTTAAATAATTCATTTTTGTGATGGCAAAGCTGAATTTTCAGCATCATTACTCCAGTCTTCAGTATCACATGATCCTTCAGAAATCATTCTAATATGCTGATTTGCTGCTCAAGAAACATTTCTTCTTATTATCAATGTTTAAAATAGTTGTGCTGCGTACAGGGGCATCACTTTTTGCACTATTTTCAGGAATCCTTTGTAACATCACAAATGTATTTACGGTCACTTTTCAGTTTAATACTTCCTTGCTGAATGAAAGTATTAATTTCTTTCAAAAAAACAAAAAAAGCTTACTGACCCCAAACTGTTGAATGGTAGAATATTGCGAGAAGTGTGTTTGTTGCTCTCTAACCTGACTCCTGGCTGTCCATCACTCTAGTCACCATCACGACGTGTGTTTGTGGAGAAAGATCTGTATACAGGGTAATGCTTGCAGTAGAGGGTACCTGATCCAGGAAATGTGATGCTGAATAGACTCTAATGAGGAGGAGGGTGGGGTCTTCATCTGACCGGACCGGATCAGACAACACAATGTCTGTTGTGTCTGACTGAACCTAATTAGATAAGAGTGAAGAAACAAGAAACTGAAAAGTCATTTAATTTCAAATGCATTTTAAATACAATTAATTCAGTCAAGCAGTATAAGGATTTCTCCCATGATCCCTCTCATTCTCACCCTCAGTGCACTGAGCATGTCTGGGGTGCCAAACACTGTGATTTCAGCCACAGGCTGCTGGGAGGACAGTTTGATCTTGGTGACAGGACAATGGAACGCTGGCACATACTGGAGCCGAACAGAAGATTGAAAAGAAGGGGGTGAGTTAGGAAGTGACGGCAGGGCAGCTGGGGCTGATTGAGTCTGCAGACACGCAGACAGATAGATGGAGACAGGCAGAGTGGACAGAAGATGGAGGATGGAGTCTGACTGGGGCTGCACAGAGATCCTGCAGCTGTACTGAGCTGAAACAGGGCGACAAGACAGGTCAACCATAAAGGCTAGCTTCATGGGTAAAATAATAACATTTTAAAAAATAAATAAAAATGTATTGAAGGATGCTTTAAACATGTTACCAAATTCGAAAATGTGTTCCAAATCCATTCTCATAGAATCAGGATTATTAAGGATTTATCAAATTGATCCGTCAATTGTTTTAATTATTAAAACACAGTTGGAATCTCTCAGACACTAAGCATAACAGAAGGCTTTAAAAAAAGTCAGCATCTTAAAGTATTTTAGGTTTTGTAAAACGTGTTTCACCTGTGTCTGTATTGTAGAAGGGTGTTGAGTGAAAGATATCCTGCAGTATTCTTATCTCTAGGTAGGGGGCGCCAAAGTGTAAAGAGCACAGTAGCTCTGCCTCGGGATGTAGTTTCTCCTCAATGACCTCCCACTGGTCTAGATTGCATTGAGCTACCATGCAGAAAGAAAGAGAAAGAGTCAGTCAGACTCACAACCTCATATTCCATCTGCACAGATATTTATCCATGTCTCTGAAAGTGAAAATCCTGCCCGGATCCAAGATCTAGGAAGATAGAGTTGAGATAATGAAGATGCGCAAGTGAAACTTTCCACCCACCACTTGTTTTAATTGTACTTATTAAACAGTTAGATATAATCACCACTGAGAATCATTTCTAGTCTAAGGATTAAGTATTTAAACAATTAAAGGGGATCTGTGGATCCTCCAGATGGAAATTAATATTTGGAATTATAATCCCTTTATTTCTTTAATCTCCTTAACAGTCTAAATATCCCTCAAGATTCTTTAATAATCTTTACGCAATCGGATTAATGGCATGTCAGACGTTTTGTGTACACTGGCCTTCCTGAATCTCATGTGGAGGTGAAAGGAGTCACCTATGTTGGCAGCAGAGGTGTTCAGATCCACTCTGACTCTGTATTCTGAAGCTTCGGGCCAGTTAGTGAGGAGCCTATCAGCAGGAAGAATGATCACAGGAATGGACGCAGACTCCACTGTTACCTGCATGACACCACAAGAGTCTTTGAAATCAAAACATTCACAATGGGTCTGTTCCAAAACTTAGTGAGCTACCGTGCCACATCCTAACAGAGATGGAACCCCACAAGTGATCGTATTGGAAAAAAATTTTTAACTCGAAGGGCTTCCATTGTCAACTACAATTTATATACGGCTTCACTGTATATAAGGTAAGGGGGAATAGAGCTATTATGTCACAAAATATGAGGACACTTATGTAATACCACAAAGGCACTGATTACCTCTCTGAAGGTTTGCTGCCCACCCTCTAGCCTGTAGTAAACTACTACCGTCCCAGAATTCTTTGCAAATGCCACTCCAGTCTCAGAGTTAATTTGAAGGATCTGACTTGATGACACATCCCATCTCCCTCGCCGACCTTAAAGAGGAAAAAACAAATGCAAAAACGATCTATACAGTACTCTAATGCTCAAAGTATACTTCGGTTTTTATACGAACACAAGGGTATGCGTACAGCATGCATGACATACACACAGCCAGCCTTTTCTAACCATGCATATTCTGTACGTTCAGCTTAAATTTGCACCAAATTGTTTTGCACTAATTAGTTTGTCTTGTGTACCGGTACTTTGACTTGGATGTGGACTTTAAACATAACTTTAATCATAAAATAAACATAAACAACAAAACGAAACGAGCAGCAGCGGCCGACTGCGGCATATAAACATAATTAAAACAGCAATGTGAAATGTCCCAGGCTTTCGGACACGCCCTGCTTCATACCACAGTAACGTTATTAAAACTTTAATCCATTAGTTCATCCATGAACATGGTTTCTGCCTGAGTCCTGTAGCTTTCCATCGGCTGTGGAGTTGAAGATGACAACTCCCATGATTCCACGCACATTCACGCCATCATCAAGCTACGCTTTTGTTATTTTTTTGAAAAAGTGACCTCTAGCGGCGAAACTTACATACTGTGCTTTTAAGCGCATGGTTTTGCACACAGGAGTATACTTTGAAAGGCTACACGCTCGGCCGTACGCATACATAAAGTGTTCACATCAAAAATGGAGTATACTTTGGACTTTATGAAGGGTTTGTTTACGAAAACTAAAACCAGTGCTCTGCTTGCTAGTAACCTACTGATTTACCCTGCTGGTCTGTAATGGGAGCGCTGAAACAGATGATATCCCCAGAGCGCAGGAATCCTGGGGGCTCTGAGATGGCAGGCACCACAAACAGAGTGGTGTAATCACTCAGAAATGGGTTTATAGGGTCTCCCTGCACCCTCAAAACAGTTAGACCAGGTGACACCGTCTGAACCAAAAACGACTGATTGCCTTTGTCAACTATCAGTTGCACCAGGTCATCTCTGAGACAGAGAAAAAGAGGTTAGACCACTTCTGCGAGTACTTGGAGTCATACAAACATGTCTATCTGTATAATTGCCTGTTAGTGGTGACCAGTGTTTGCATATTATGGGAGTGGAATTGTTGTCCCATGTTGTCATAATATAGAGCTTTAATATGGATGCTCCAGCCCAGAGGGTAGGCAGGAAGGGCTCTCTCATCATCACTGTTCACTGATGACATAGTCAAAACTCGTACAAACCACACTGTTGACACCTAAGGAAGGAAAGGTTGACATGAGGATCTAAAATGAGTTACCTATGGTAATAAATTATCATGATGAACACTCACCTTCACACTGATCAACATTGTTTGGTTGATACCACAAATGTCCACGGCAAAAACCTCCAAAAGAGCCACGCCTGTATCAGGTCCTGTTCTCAACACCCCTTGATCATCAAAAGTAACAAGCCCTGCCCCTGAGACACACCGGCTAAAGGTGTAACGGACTGGACAGACTGTGTCTCTGAAAACACACGTTTTAAAACCTGTATGATGTTACCTAGTCACGCGTAACCAGTCCGTTGACTAAACAGCAAAATACCTGTGGTTGTTTCTGAGATTATATGAAACCAACCAGGATCTTCAGAAAATTCTTCAGTAAAATTTAGGGGGGAAAATATGTCAATGTAATTTTGATCAGGCAATGATGTGGAACAACTTCATGGAGTGGATGCTAAATTATTTTTTTCAAGCTAGGCAAAAAACAAATAAATAAATACAAATTTCTGACATGAAACATGTCAGGACATACAAACTCACTTATTGCTCTGCAGGGTGTACTGAGAAAGGGGAGACATGAGGATGGAACCCAGGGTTCCTGTTGTTAATTGCATCTCTTCAAACACCTGAGAAAAGAGGGAGAACAAAAGAGAAGAGATACATTTAGAGAAAAACAAAAACAAAAAAAACAATTAGAGAAACCATTTTTTTTTTCTTCCCTATAGTGATGTTTATCTGAGTGAAACAGCTTCTCGAATTAAAAATGTTGGGTGGGACTTGATTTTGTCCATCGGGAATTGATTGGATGGTTGTTGTTTCTATTGATGTCATGTGCGTGACAGGTTGTCCAGCTCTCGCTAGTAAAGATGTTATCAGAGAAGAGATGTTGTTGCAAGAGGGAGAGGAAGTTATTTTGATTTAAGATTATGAGGCCGCATGAATTAAAAAAAAATTATGATGTGCACGAATAAATCATTAATAATAAATGCTGCAACATTCCATTGTTTATTTTGACTTCATGGTGACTTTAAATATTATTCTTCCATTAACTCATTCTTGAGGATTTTAAACATCCAGATATTCTGGTTTGCTGATTAGCCTAGTTGAATCTGTTTGACTAAAATAATCTGTGATGAATTATGTATTCTGAGATTGTGTGGGTTACAGTACATTGTTATTATTTTATTTTATTAAATCTAATTATAAAAACAGGCCTCTACAGTATGATTTTATAGTACAGTACAGAAGACTTTTATCTCAGAAGATCAAGGAAAATCTGCTTCCTCATGATGTGACTCCTATAAATAGCTTGTCATTGGTGGTTCTTTATGGAGGATGTATTTACCAGTATCTGTATCTCGTCAGTGAGATGATCAGAGAATGAAGTGTTGCTGGTGTGTATTTCTTCGAGCTGCACACGCACTTTGAGGCTGGTCCTGCCTGGAGCTTCGGCTCTCACTAGCACAGAGTAACTGTGAGAGGGAGACACACTAACGCCCACCTAAAACAGACAGCATGATGAAAAAACAAGTGTTCATACAAGTCAGTTTAAGCTGTGTGTGTGCATCTCACCTGTGCATGCCTGGGTTTGATCTCCAGCACACACGGTTTGCTCAGACTCCAGTGGAACCTGAGGCCAGACTCGACACTACCCAGAGAGAGAGGGTTCTGACCGCTGTCCCTCCCCATTACGTAAACCGGCATCTAAAAGGAAAGATTCATCCAAACCCCTCCTTATACATGCAGCAAAAAAACATGGCTGCACACAATAATAATGAGCATGAGAAGGACAAACCTCTGTTCCTACAGATAGAGTAACTAAAGGAGCCTGTATCCTCACTGCTGTCAGGTTAAACACCTCCACTTCATCCTGATCACGTCACATGCAGTTAAATCGCAATTATTAGGTTTATGCGAAAGCATTATATCTTTAAGGGTGTATTCACACTTAGTAGGTTTGGTTTGATTAATATGAACTCTGGTGCTAGAGACCCACCTTTTCTCTTGTGCATTTTGACTAAAATATGAATGCCACACTGACCAAAGGCATCTAAATGAAGCAAAACCAGCACAATGTCACAAGATGCGAGCGACACTTAAAAGGAGACAATGCGCAAGCACACGGAAAATCGCAAACTCTGTTGAGTAGGTACTTATTTTAATTAAGTAATTACTTCACGACCACTAAAAAAGGATGTTCTATATAGTATGAGTGTGTCATTATCATGTGACCTATCGGCGTCAGTTGCGTCACTTCACTGCTATTCATAAATCCTCTCCCGTGGCCTAATGGGATGGTAAAGTGTCCATCTTATGCACACTTCAGAATCTAGTAGTAGGTCATCCAGGTACTTTTTGCCTACTGGACAGACTTCTTTTGTCACATGCTGTTTTTCCGAAGTGTTATTTTTAGTTTGTTTTGATTAAAGAACTGCATGTGATTAGATCCTGCCTTTATTTTTTGTTTTTATTTGAACCCATTGCTGACACAAACATTGAGCTCATTCAGCCCAGCACACAGCATTGTTTTGCATATTCGGTAAGTTCTGACACAAAGTATATATCATAAAAGCGTTTTTTAGTGTGTGTGTGTGTGTGTGTGTGTGTGTGTTTGTATCGATCGGTGTTAAAAATCAGTGTAAACACTAAGCAAACCAGTATTAAATGTATCATTTTCTTTTTTGGCCCAGACAAAAAGAACCAAGAGAGAACCAAACTAAGTGTGAACACACCCTTAGAAATGTGTACATTTATTATAGTAACATTTTAATACAATTTAAATAATAAATAAGGCCATGTAAGAACATGATGTGTGTGTGTATGAGAACAGATGTTAGTGATGGTAGTGGTTACAGCATATAATTAAGGCGGAATGGGATGAAGGTTGGATTAGCTGCAGTAGGTAAGTAGTTAGGCCTATTAATTATTCATCCTGGCTGCCATGGAAATGGAAAATTAAATCATGCATATATGTTTGCTCCTGAGTCACCTTTATAATTATGTGATTAAGGGACATTTCAAACAGAACACTTTTTTGTGTTTAAAGGGATAGTTCACTCCAAAATGAAAATTATGTCATTAATTACAAGCGAACATGCTTGAGCTTCCGTTTACCACAACTAATGAATGCTGAATGTTTAAATGTGAATAAAAGCCTAAATTCATTATGTTCATTATATTAAGCGACCGTGTCTCTTCAGAAAATTTGGACTAAAAACGTTAATTCATATGGATTAGTTTTACGATCTCCTAATGAACTTTTTGAAGCGTCAAAGTGGTAGTTGTGTAGCTGTCAATGGAGAGACAGAAAGCTCTCAGATTTCATCAAAAAGATCTTCATTTTTGTTCCGAAGATGAACAAAAGTTGTATGGGTTTGGAACATAGACTGTAAAAAAAGATGGACGATGCCCCTTCGCTCTCTTCCATTGGTCAGAAGTGAAGCCGCCAGTGTCCCGATATGGCGCTGACATCTTGGAACTTGAGTCTGCGCAGTAGCGATTTCGGGACCAGACCCTATGGACCAGACCTGCGCAGTAGTGAGCAGGAAGTAAAGCCGCGAAATCAAGGCCCGCCCTCACTCTCGCAGAATCAATCGCAAGCACGAGCTCCTGCACTTTTTAAAAAATTAATTATAGAAATTTAGATATTAAATTTAAAGCTCCAATCTCCTCAGTCCTCCGAAGATCCCGAAAAAAAGTCTGTTTGTGGTTCAGTGACTACTTCGCTCAGAGAACCTGTCAATCACAGCTGTCAATCATGACGTCACCACCACCGCATCAAATAACTAACTAAATTTTTTTTTTTAAAATGTTTTAACTTATTTTAAAAACAAACACTTGAACTTACATCAGCGTGATAAAAACTACAGTAAATGATAGAAACCATCTTTAGAAAAACGATATTTGAAGTGTAATTTAATTGTTTAGTTGGTCTCACATATAATGTTGAATAACATGGGGAGGCGGGGTTTATGACCTATACTAGGACCAGCCACCGGGGGGTGATCGAGACGTTTTGGCTTCACTTTTCAGGGCTCTTGCGGCACGCTTGGTTTGGAATGACATGAGGGTGAGTAATTAATGACAGATTTTTCATTTTTAGGTGAACTATCCCTTTAAAAACAAAACACAGTAGTGGAATGAAAAAAAAAGTCTTGAGATGCGACAGTCAAACACTTCTGTCTAGCACATGTTTACATAGAAAACCTATGGAAAAGCAGCACAGTGGAATGCAAAAATGCAAGACATGGGGCAGAGAAATGAAAGAGCATAAAGGCGTGTTGAACTTCTTTTAACTTGTTCACGGTGGAATGCAAAAACTTGTTCTGTGTGAACGGACCCTACAACTACTGCCACAGGTATGTGATCGTCTGTGTAAATAATACTTTTTATGTATGGCCTCAAATCGCAGGAAATCTCTTACAAATCTATGTGTGTGCTACCTGTACAAAGGTAGGCGGTGCTTCTGTATCGTGTGTCTGGAGAGCTCCTCTGAGTTTGACAACACCCACTGCCACACCTCTGACCAGTCCTGTTTCTGTTACCACGGCAATAGAGCTGTCATTCACGGAGAACCTGACGCTGGACTGAGGATGAGGCCCTCCCTCCAATTTCACCTGAACATCAAATACATCTTTATACTCAAAAATGCATTTCTGAGAAAACTAACATATGGTTTGGTGCATCCTGTCACACCCACCTGTCGCACACTTCCAACTGCCAGAGTGAGTTTACTGGGCTGCAGACTGAATGGAGGGTAAACTTGCATATTCTTGTGGGAGGAGCTTATAACACGCCCATGACCATCCACTGCTGAGAGGAGGAGACTGACCATGCCCACTGCCAGGCCTGTCACATGGAACCCCACACTGTACTCATCCAATGGCCCCACCTCCCTGTAAGCATACAGTATATACAACAATTCAAAAGCCATGTTTTAACTATAATTTCTATGTGAAAGAACTAATGACAGAAATAAAAAAATGAATATATTCAAATAATTTTAAAATAAAATGGAAATACCCCATATGTGTATACGATTTATTTGTAATTCACACTGAAACATTACAATAAAAATGACTCCTATAGCAGTTATGTGCATTTCTTTAAATTTCATACCATTTTAATAGTATTTCCATCATTTCAAACTGAATTAGAATTATACATTCTGTTTACTACTTCAGTTTAAATTCAGTTATGCATCCTTAATTCAATTCTAAGCCACTTGCCTCACTCCTTACAATTTTTCCAGCACCTCACCTCACCTCAACTCCAGCATATCTATTCATTTCTATTATGTATTAGATATTACATACTCTTTATTAAGAAGTCATAGGAAAGAATTTAGAGCTTGAACCCTTGCCTTATGGACAGCAAACCTTCATCTCATGCAAATGTATGTAAATGTAAACTAGTGAAATAAGACTGATACAAAACACATGGCCTGGACTCACTCCACAGAAATGATTGATGAAGAAGGGATAAGCATGAGGTTCATGAGCAACAAGAAATTATGAAGAAATGGTTGATTCTTTGAATCCAGAACACGCACTCGTACTACAGCAGAATGTCTGACCTCAATCTAAAAACCATCAACATAGGAGACAAAGATTCAGTGAACATGAGA